CGGTTCAGTGGGAGCAGGAGTAGGAGCAGGAAGGGGAGCAGTGGCCTTTTATTCCCAGCTCCCTCGAGCTGGCCTGGAGACTGTTTCTCTAATGTATGTGAAGTGTTTAGAAAAACCATGAAACCCTCTACCCACAAAAGGTGGCTGTAATTATTGCCCCATGAAACTGGTGCAGGCCCGAGGCAACCCCAAACTGGAGAGCAGCACTCCCTGTGGCCTGCCCTCCCTTGACACCTTGTTCTTCGGGGTTGTGAGTGCACATTGCTCTCCCTCAGCCCCAGGAGCTCAGCTGGCTTGGTGCGCACTTCTCCATGTGCGAGTGGGCAGGAGAGCCCGCGCAAGCCTGTGCTGACCAGCAGGGCCAGAGCTTGCAGGAGCCCTGGGCTGGGAGGTGGGCGTGCCAGCCCTGGGCAGACCTCAGCCAGGGTTCTGGTGATTGCAGTGTCCCTGGAGAATGTGCTGCTAGATGTGAAGGAGCTGGGCCGGGGCATGGAGCTAATTCGGCGGGAATGCAGCATACACGACAACAGCGTCCTTCGGAACTTCCTCAGCACCAACGAAGGGAAACTGGACAAGCTCCAGCGGGATGCCAAGACGGCCGAGGCGAGCATGGGGTGGGGGCGGGTGGGAGTGGCCAGGGCGCCAGGTGCCTCAAGGATGTACCTAGTTCTGCTTGTCAGGCAGCTGGCAGGCTGCGGGTCAGTGAGAAAGTGCGTTGGAGGTGACAGGCAGCCCCCTCTGGAGACGTGCACTCTCAGGAGCTTTGGGAGCCTCAGGTTCTCTCCAGCTCACAGGGGCCTGAATGGTTGGTTTTCTTCCCTTTGGCCTTGGACTTGGCTTTCTGCAGCCTCCTGTCCCTGGCAGGGGGGCTTCTCCTTCCTGCCAGGCTGACTTCTCTGCCTCTCCTTTCCCCAGGAGGCCTACAATGCAGTTGTGCGCTACTTTGGTGAGAGTCCCAAGACCACACCTCCTTCTGTATTCTTCCCAGTGTTTGTCCGATTCATTCGTTCGTACAAGGTAAGCTGCAAAGAGGCTTCTGAAGAGGAGTTTGGCTGAGAAAACCGGTTAGGGTTGAGAGGGCTGGGCTTCAAGTCTAGGCCTTTTCTGCTTCCTCCTCCGAGTTCGGGGAGGGAGCAATGGAAGCTGGCCATAGGCCTCTGAGCTGTGAACTGGTGGGCAGGGTGGGGGCCCAGCTCTTTCCTGCTATTGTTCAAGGCAGGAAGTGCCCCTCCAGAGGGTGGCCACCTGGGGCTAGCTGGTCCCTCTGCCACCCACTCTCCACCCTCAGTGTCAGCCCCTCCCCTCACTCCCACCCACCTTCCACGGTTCTTAGGAAGCAGAACAGGAGAATGAAGCCCGCAAGAAGCAGGAGGAGGTGATGCGGGAGAAGCAGCTGGCTCAGGAAGCCAAGAAACTGGATGCCAAGGTGGGCGGGGCCAAGAGCAGGGGCCTGGAGGAGGATGAGGCGACAGATTGGGGGCTGGAGGGAGCAGAGAGCTAGAGAGAGAGAAAACAGGAGCAGGTAGATACATACCCAGAGAGCCTATGGGCTGAGTCCAGGGATGGGGAGTGGGGCTTTGGGAAGGGGATTCCTGGCAGTGTACAGTCAGGGGCGTCCTCAGACTGCATCTCGGGGCAGGAACCAGCTCCATTAAGTTAGTGAGGACTTCTTACTTCTCCAAACCCTGGCCCTAGACTCCATCCCAGCGGAACAAGTGGCAACAGCAGGAACTAATTGCAGAGTTGAGGCGGCGCCAGGCCAAGGAGCACCGGCCTGTTTACGAGGGGAAGGACGGTACCATTGAGGACATCATCACAGGTGTGGCTCTCTTTCCTCCTTTGGGGCCTGGCCATGGGGTCCAGCTCCTGAAGGCCAACCTAACACCTCTTAGCCCTCTTCCTACCCCACCTCCCATGAGGCTTGACCAGTGTATCTCTTTCCTGGGCCACAGTGTTGAAGAGTGTCCCTTTCACGGCCCGTACTGCCAAGCGGGGCTCACGCTTCTTCTGCGATGCAGCCCACCATGATGAGTCAAACTGTTAGCCCCCAAGGCTGGGGCCCCTGACAGGTACCGGGCACCACAGCAGCCCTCTGCATGCCCACCTCCCAGGACTCCTGCTGGAGCTCACAGGCACCTCCTCTCCTGCATGATTTAGAACTGCCCTCTGACAGCCTCCCAGTGATGGGGACACACTTCCTGCATGTCTCATGCTCTGAGAAGTGTGGCTCACCCCCTGCATGTGCCCTCAGGGAAGTGGTATATCCCACTAATGCTGTCCTGGCTTCTACTAAGACCCGAGGGGTAGGGAGTCGCCCAGCAGGGTTGAACTGTGCAGACCAGGTAGAACCAGGCCGAAGGGTCTGCTTGCTATGGTTCTGTTCCTGGGTCCAGAAGACCCTACCCTCACCTCCTGAGAGCTCTGGCAGTAGATCTGCCCAGTGGCAGTCAGATGTCCCTTCACCTGTTCTCTGACATCCAGTGGTTTGGGGTCTTTTCCCAACTTCTGGCTCTTGCCGAGTCTACCTTGTTTCTGCCTGCTGCCCAGCAGTCTCTAGCCGCCCTCACCAATCCTCTGAAACTGCAGAGTACCAGCAATCTCCCCACGATGCCTTGATGCCTTGAGCCTCTCCCTAAGCGCCTCCTCTATCTACAATCTCATGGCTAGCTCCTCCCTGGCCCTGCCCATAGGGGTGATCCTGATGTGCAGTCTAGGCTCAGCCTCCTTGCCTGCTCACAGGCCTCTGTCTTCCCCACAGGCCTCCACCATCAGCCCATTGTTGTTCGCCACCAAGCCAGGAGTGCGGCACCGCCCAGCGGCCCACCACGGGCTCCAGGCCCCCACTGAGACCCTCCTGGGGCAAAAGCACTTCAACCCTGCAAGTCTCGCCAATGGGCCTGGAGCCTTGGCATCAGCTGAGGGCCCAGCAGAGGACTGCATGCTCTCAGCCGTCTCCACACCAGCTCTCGGGGCTGGATCTTCCCTGCACCACTGTGGGCATTCCCCGCGCCACTGTGGGCATTAGGTCTATAAGGGCAGGCAAGTCCCTGCCACCTCTAGTACTGCACTTTGCCCCCAAGGTCTTCAACTTCATTTCCTGAAAGGCCATTAAGGGTCAGCTCAGGGCTGGGAAAACCCATGTCCAGTTTCAGCCCCTCGGGGGCACCTCGGCGCCTTTATAACAAGAGCCCAGAGGGATGAGAGGAGAAAGCAATAATCCCTTTTTATTTTTTCCTTTTCTGCAGTCCCATGGCCAGCTCTGGCACAGAAGGATCCAGGCTTAGGGAGTCCTGGGACCCTGCCTGTCTCAGATCATCCCCTACCAGGAGGAAGGCCCTTTTAAGCCTGGACCTCGCCCAGCTGTGCCCTAGTGACAAGGGTAGAGGCGATTCCTTGGCCCATTTCATTCTAGCCTGGCTGGCCTTGCTGAGGTGGGCAGAACAGAGGGTTTTTCCTGCACCAGCCCTGAAAGGGCATGCTGACTGCATCCTCACTGTCCTTCCTCAGCCAGGTGGTTTTGTTCTGTTCTGTTCTGTTCAGAGGGCAGGGAGCACAGTGGTCTTAGCTAACTGGCGCTCAGCTCCCTATCAGTTCTTCTCAGCCTCTGGAAGGGAACATGAGGGCCCAGTTCTTTTTGTAATGTACCACTTCCCTTCTCCCTTGTACATAAACCCGAGACCTTCCCCCTCTTAACAAAGGCGTAAAGTACCAGGCCTGACTGACTCCTCTTTCTGAGCCTGGGGGGGGGCAAGGTGGCCACTTAGCCTGCCTGGCCCATGGGTATAAGTGCATCTGTTCCAGGGAGAGGAGCTCAGATCCTGGGAGGACTGGGAGGGCTGGATGCTCCCACCACACAAAGGGAGACCGGCCTGCTATGAGACACTGGTGCCCTCTGCTGGGCATGTGCACACCTGTCCAGTGCCTAACTTGCCCTGGTGGCACATGGAGAGGACAAAAGAGCCATTGGCCAAGTTATAAATATTGTTATTTAAAAAACAAAAACAAACACACATACATTGGGTCCCAGGGCTGGAGGAAACAGTGGAGCCCCAGGGCCAGGGCAGGCAGGAGCAGGCACTGATGCTAGAGGCTGGGGACCCTGCCCCTGCCACCCAGGCTATGTCCACCAGCCTATCACTTGCCCCTTGAGACCCCTTCACTCACTTCATCTACAGGCATCACCCACCCCGCATGACACAGAGTGCCCAGCTCTGGAGGGCCCTCGAACACCGAGAGCAACCTCAAGAGGTGTCAAGGTGTGTTGGGAGTAGGGTTACTCTAAGAAAGGTGGGCACAGACCAGACTAAGGAAGGAGTCTGAGGCAGCCGCTGAGGGTGGCCTGGAGCCTCATCCTCACACAGACCCAAGGCAGAGAACAGCTCTCTGGGTCACTGGTGGTCGTCCAGCTGTTGTAGGAGTGTCCGCCGCCGCCTCTCCAGCTCCCCCTCGCTCAGTTCACTTTCCGACGTGTCCCAGCCAGTCTGCTGAGCAAAGGCATAGCTCACCCCAAGCCTCTCCTGAGCACCCTAGAGGCCTGGCAGAGCGCCGTCTGGCCTGGGGCCAGGGCACCTGCCTCTTACCAGCTTTTTTCCCATGAGTCAGAAAGACAGAGACAGAGAAACACAGCACTCTCAGCAGGGTCCTGAAACTGTGCTCCACCTCTACTCTGCCACCTGACTCTTGCCAGCCCTGGATCAAGTGTCCCCAGTGAACTTGGAGGTCTCGGGACATGAACTGGCAACCTCCCCGTGGGGTCAGCCTTGCAGAACATGGTGTTTCACTATTGCGCCACCATCTATCCCCCTCACCTTCTCTTTCTTGATTCCAAAGCCTGGGGAGCGGTTCGGGAGTTCCACCTGCCGGAGCTCCCTGTCCTTGTCCTGTTCTTGCTCTTTCTCATCACTCTCCTTGCCTGCTTTCTCCTCAGGGTCCGTCTCACTGTCCGGACTGTTCTGTAAGAGTCCAGAGCCCACCGCTCAGTGCCCTAAAGGCCAGCATGGGAGGCGGGGGGAGCAGGTCTTGCATAGCAGCAAGCCCTTAGGCAGAAGTTCCTTTTCTACTCACCGACTTTTGTCTTCTCTTTTTAGTTTTCTTTTTTGGTTTCTTGGCTTTCCGAAAGCCATGATCTGGGGATTGAAAGATGCTAAGCCCCAGCAGGAGAAAGGAGATTCATCCTTTTCTCTGCTGCAGTCGCTCTGTCCCTCCGCATGGGCACCTCATGGTCTGAGGAGTTCTCAGTCAGTGCAGTTTTCCTCCCTTCTCCCAGGTTCTGCCTGGGCAGGGACAGGAGTCCTCCTCTCCTGCAGGAGCAGCCCTCCCGACCCACTTCCCTCCGGGGCCTGCCAAGGGCCTCCTCTCAGGCTGGGCCAATTCTCCAAGCAGCTGCTTACCTGATCCAAGGAGCAGGTGGGAGGATGGGGAGCCCCGTCCTCCAAGGGCAGCACCCCCACTTTCAACTGAGTCAAGTGAGGAAGAGGGCTCAGAGCCTGACTCCGAGGGGTTGTGCCGTCTCCGCTTGGGAGGCCGGAGAGGTGGTGGGGGCAGCTCCTCCTCTTCTGACTCGGAGCCCTGGGCAGATGAGCAGATACCGGTCAGCGCAGAGGTTCTCTGGCCTCCAGAAGCCCTCATCCAGGGGTTGGGGAAAGAGAGGAGGATCCAAGGTCAAAGGGATCCTCAAATTACCCTCCAAAGGTGGTGGTATAGGGGAAAAACAATGTTCCTTATCTACCCAGAACAACCCAGTCTCACCACAGCCCTCTGCCCGCAGACTCACCGAGGGCGAGTGGGAACGCTTGTGGTGGTGCTTCTTCCCCTTCCTGCCATGCTTCCGGCCCTTGGCGTGGAGGTGCTGGCATTCTGTCTGCTAGAGGCAGAGTAGTGAGGGTGGCATCAGCCTGGCAAGCACCCCGCCTCCCCGTCTCAGAGCCTCCTGCCTATCCCAGGGCTGTCTAAGGTCCCTTTCTAAGCCACCGAGGAGAGGGGGGACCTAGGGGTAGGGTGAAAGGTCAAAGGTCTGTTGAGCTGGCCTAAGGAGCTCAGAAGCCAGGGGCAGGGCCAGAAGCGAAGCCTGCCTCACCTCCAGCACCTGCAGGAACTCCCGATAGAGCCGGATCCGCTCCGACTCCAGGGTGATCTGCTCAAAGGCCGAGTCGCACACAAAGCGCTCCCGAACCTTGAAGGAGGAGAGCGCTGCTGATCAGCCCAGGCCCCGCCTGCCCGGCCTGGACACCACCACGTCCGCAGGGCAGGGCCAGGGCGGAGGAAGGAAGGGAACCGGAGCTGGCCCAGGGCTGTGCTGACAGGGCGGGCCCTCGGTGGAGAAGCACCGGTCGCCCTCGGGCGCGAGGGTGTTGGGGCCAGGCTGTACTCCTGACCTCGTCCCAGGCAGTGCCGGGCTCCAGGGCAGGCACAGCCTGCCTCAGCATGCTTCGGAAGGCAGCTTCCCTGCGCCGCATCCTTCGTGCCTCCTCTTTTTCCCGCTCCCTCTCCCGTGCCTCTGCTTTCTCCAGCAGCTGAGGGCAGAAGGGCACAGTCACCGGGAGGGTGGGTGCCCAGGTCCCACTCAGGCATGCCTTAGGAGAAGGGAGGTAGGGGCGGGCTTCTTCTATCATCCCTGAAACTGGGGTTCGGCCACAGTGGGACAGTGGGAAGGAATGGAACGAGACTGGGATGAGGCCCAGAACCCGCCGGCCCCTCACACTATTGAAGGTCAGCTTGATGTTGCCTGCGTCCAGCGCAGCAGCCCTCTTGTCAAAGCTTATGACGTGGGCGAAGTCTTCAAAGGCTGTGTTCACCTCCACACAGAAGCTGCGGTCCTGCGGGCACAGCAACGCATGAAGCAGAGGGCACCATGGCCTGAGGCTCAAAGCTGGCAGGCAGGGGACATCCAGAAGACTAACCCACCAACTTGGAAACCAAGTTGTCCAAGTCCTTGCCACGACAAACCCCCATGCCTACTCATAGGTAGTACAGGGAGCTGAGGGGTTGGGAGGGGTCTCCAGTCCACTGCCTGACAGTTCCTGTGGCTTAAAGCTCTGGTCCCAGCCGGGTCCTCCAGCTGCTCAGTAATCCTTCCTGGTCACCTGCTGGTCCCCACCCTTTGCATCTCTCTGGTGAGTGTTTACTAGGTACCAGGCACCATGCTGAGTGCTTCACACGCATTTCATCCTCACATTCCTCTAAGTTTGCTCTGGTCACCTGGCCATGTTGCAATCCTATCTTCTCTTCCCTCAGGGTTTGAGGCTTGCACAAATAGGTGCCTGCCGTGATTTTCTTTCTTTTTTTTTAGATTTTTTTAATCTTTATTTATTTGTTTAATTTAAATTTGACCAGAGAGAAAGCAAGCAAGCCAGCCGCCAGGTCTGGGACTCAAACAGTGGTCGGCCATGTGGGAGTCCAGCACCCTTAACCACCAGCTGGCCCCCCTGCTGTGATTTTCTTTTCTTTTTTTTTTTTCTTTTTTTTTTAGATTTTTTGGGTTTTTTTGAGATATTTTTGCTCTAGGGCATGTATGCTTGCCACAGAGACAGAGCAAGAAATCACCCTCTAGGGGAGATGGCCATGCCATAATCCCTACTCCATCCTCAGGATTTTGGGCGCACACACATTTCTGTCTGGGTTTCTAGCCACAGGGTCCAGGACTCAGACCACACAGTTGACCATGTGGCTGCCTTAACCTCCATGCCACCTGCTGGCCCCCAATCCTCACATTTCCTTTTATTTTTTTCTTAAGAGAGATTTTTGCTATAGGGCATGTGTAGTCGCTGGAGAGACAGAAACTGACAGGAAGTGAGAAATCATTCTCCACGGGGGATGGCCATGCCACAATCCCTTCTCCATTCCCTTGGGATTTGGGGTACCCATGCATAAGCCACTGGGTCCAGGACTCGAACTGTAGTCAACTACACAGGAGTCCAATGACGTAACCATTACTCCATCTGCTGGTCCTCACATTTCTAAAGTTAAGGATAGGTCTTAGTATTCTAATTTTATGAGGAAGGGGAAGACAAAATTTAGAGAAATGAGGGTACTTGTCCAAGGTCACATAACTGACATGTAGCTGAGCAAGACTCAACACCCTGGTCTACCCCTAAACACACGCTTTGAAGTGCTACACTGATACAAATCACGCAGTCCACAGGAGAAGCTGCTGTGACCCTCCAGCAATACTGACATGTCCCGTTCTTCAAGCACCCTGGCCTGGGCCCTGTGCTTCCCTTCCACGCTTCACAACATCCCAGTGAAGTGGAGGCTTGCGTGACCTCACTTGGCCCACGATGACACGAGGATGAGTAGAGCCACCGAGTTGACTGGCTCACAAGTTAGTCAGGACGAGACCAGAGTGCCTGCCTCCGTGCGCACGGTCACTCCCACTGGCCCTCCAGCTGGTGACGGAGGCTGCTCTGCTCTCTAGTCCCCAGAGTGCTTCCTTGGCCCACACTCTCCAACCCGTCTCAGATCTTTCTCTTCAATGAAGTGAAGCACAAGTGTCACTCTCAGTCTCACCCTCTTCGCTGGCTCTCCATCGAATACACACCTCAGTTAACCTGGAACCACGCGTCCATCCTGCTCTCCCCTTCCTCAAGCCTAACTATCTGCTTCCTTTTCTATTTCAAAATCTCTTGAAAGGTAGCACGAATGAAAAGCAATGAACATTTACTGAGAGCCCAAGACGCCTTATTTATTTCTTTTCTTTTCTTTTTTTTTTTTGAGAGGTTTTTGCTACAGGGCACGTGCACTCACCAGAGAGACAGAGACAGAAAGAAATCACCCCCCAGGGGGGATGGCCACGCCACAATACCTTCTCCAATTCTCCTCTCAGGATCTTGGGCACGCACACACATGCACCCGGCGTGAGCTTAAGCCACCAGGTCCGGGACTCGAACCATGGCCGACTACATGGGAATTCAGCGACATAGCCACTACGCTAACTGCTGGTCCCTATTTATTTACTTTATAAGACAGAGGTTTTTGCTATAGGGCACGTGCACTCATGAAAAGACAGAAAGTGAGAAATCACCCGCCAGGGGGATGGTCATACCACAATCCCTTCCCCTTCACTCTCCTCTTGGGATCTTGCGCACGCACCCGCCCACACACTCAGTGTGAGTTTCAGGCCACTGGGTCCGGGACTCGAACCATAGTTGACTACGTGGGAATCCACCAATGTGACCATTACACCATCTGTTGGCCCCAAGCAGACACTTTTAAAATGTCACATCATTCTCACAACTTTGCAAATGGATTATCCCCAATTTACAGATGAGGAAACAGGCTGAGCGACATGATATAACTTGCCCAGGCCCCAGAGCTAATAAACAGCCAGGAGCCATCCGACTATAATGTGTGCTGCCCCATGCTGCTCCACGAACACGGCTCTCCCAAGGGCAGTTTGTGCCCCCACAGCCTAATCCAAGGGCTCGCTCAGTCCTTGGTGCACCTGCTGTTTACTCCTCAGCACTCTCCTCTGACTCCCCTCCTGTCCAGCCTCTATTTTGTTTTGTTTATTGCCAGAAGGGGCATGCACTTGCAGGGGGATGTGGTCACACTGCAATCCCTTTTCCTCCATTTCTCCATCCTATTATGATTTGGGGTTGGGGCACGCACACACATGCACCAGTGTGCTTTCAAACTGCCAGAGCTGGGATTTGAACTGTGGCCAGTCATGTAGGGTCTGGCTATTTCGACTACTAGGCCGTGGGGCTGGCTCCTGTCAACCTCTTTCGCCTCGCCACTTCTCTTACATGTGCATGTTCCTGAGAACAGCAGCGAGTCCTTTTTCGCTGCTCTCCCTAGCAATCTCATTCCACACCACTCTTGGTTTTCAGCCCTAAGGTAGACTGGTTATTTCAGACACTTCGAATTCAAGAAGTCCCAAGAAAATACATTTCTTACAAGTCCCCGGAAATCTCTAAAGGGTCTCCCAGACTCAGATACTTTGTCTTCTGTCACTCTTAAGTCCAGGGCTCTCTGCGTTACCCTGTGAGATGAAACATGACGGCCGCAGGGACTCCTGGGCGCATCTGCCCGTCATAGGCAGGAGCCCAAGTGGGGGAGCAGGAAGGGGAACTGTCTGTAGAAGCTTCCTTCTCCGGGTGTGGAGACGAGACTCAGTGTGGACAAGAACCCTGCAGGCCTACAGTAGTACCAGCCCCTCTGTGGCCAAACTTAATAACCTCTAACTATCCTAGGACTTGATATTTGTACTTCATATGAGTATCCTGTTCAAAATATGGTATTTGCTATTCCTCCTGCCCCACGTTGCTCTTGAGATTTATTCCCCAAAGGGAATTCCTATTTTCTCCAAACCTGCTCTTCCTACTTAATCCTTACCAATATTGCCATCACTCACTGCCCACCCTACCCCTCTTCCTCCCTCCTTCTCTTGCCTCAATTTCACAAAACAATCTTTTGAGTCTACTTCTTAGTGACTCAATCCCACCAGCATTAAATATCCATTATTTTCATTTTTGTTTAAGGTCTTGGCAATGTCACAATCCTCCTGCCTCAGCCTCCTGAGCAGCTGGCACGGTAGCGACACACCACTGTACCCAGCCTTTACAGCCGGCCAGGAAGTACACTCAGGCCTCCCACAAAGCCTCAACATGCTGAGTAGCTCCATCAACCAGCAAGCACTCCCACGGCTAAAATTTTGCTTTTCCTTTTTTTTTTGGAGAGGTTTTTGCTATAGGGTACATGCGCTTGCCAGAAAGACAGAGAGAGAGAGACAGAAAGCAAGACATCAACCCTCAGGGGGCATGGCCACACCTCAATCCCTTCTCCATTCTCCTCTCGGGATCTTGGGCACGCATGCACACACACTGGGTGTGAGTTTAAGCCACCGGGTCCAGGACTCAAACTATGGTTGACTACATGGGCGTCCAGCGACATAGCCATTATGCCAACTGCGGTCCCTCACTTTTACTTTTTACAGTTTTTGCTTTTTGTTTTTTAGTTTGCTATAGGGTGTGTGTGCTTATCAGAGAAAGAGACGAAGAGAGAAAAAATGAGAAATCACCCCCCCAGGGGGATGGCCACACTGCAATCCTTTCTGCAATCCCTTCTTATTCTCCTGTCACGATTCTGGGCATGTTTCTCAAGCTGCCGGGTCTGAGATTTGAACCGGTCAGTCAGTCATGTGGGATCCAGCCACCTAAACTACCACACCACTAGCTGGGTCCATAAAATTTCATTTTTTTTCTTAACAGTAGAAATATTTTTTCAGTAAAAATCTTATGTAGAACCTCACTGCATAAAAGAGATGTAAGCTGCTCTACTGAAGCATGATCCCACCCACCCCTTGCTTGCCTCAACACCTATGAGAAAACTAGGGTGTCTTAGATACTGCAACCCTACTGCACTTTCTCCTCTTCACCACCCCTACTCACAATCACCTCCCAGGCCAGACTCCTGCCACAGCCTCCTGACAGTCCCTCTGCCTACCCCTTTCCACCCCTCACCCAGCTCTAGTGGCTGGTGCCTCTCAGATCACCCTTACGGCAGGGCAGAGATTGGAAAAAGTCAGAGGGGATGGCTCGAGCTCAGAATTCATTTGAATTACTTGCTACTACTGCTTTCAGCATCTTGAGGCTCTAAGAACTGTCTTACCATTGCCTCCTCCACCACCTCCCCGAAGGACACAAGTACTCGAGACTGAGAGGTGCTACTACACACAGCCACTGTCACCAGTGGCTTTCCCAAGACACTGTCCATCTTACTTCCTGGCTCCTCATTCCTGATGAGATAAAAGTCCAGATTCTCTACCCCAGCATTCGAGGCACTTCACATACAGGGCTGTTTCCAAACCAGGCCGCGTGGTTTCAGAGAAACAGAGGCTCCTCCAATCAACCTGATGCATCTTGCCTACTGGTAAGTAATTTTTAAATATGAACTATATTAAACAGAGAGCTGATATGGTATTAAAATGCAATACCTGCATGAATTTGTAAGGCAAAATATAGGACTTCAAAATGCTGTATGTGCAGTGGGACAGTTCTAGCTTGACTCCCAGAGCCTTCTAAACCCGGGTACCAAGCTATTCCTCTCCACAATGAGGTTTATTTTGGTAGCTCTCTCACCATTTTCTAAACATGGAAAGTGAGACTCAGAAAGGTTAAGAGGGCTGCACAACTAGTAAGTGGTTAAGCTCAACTTTTACCCCAGGCAGTCTGCCTCGGGTCCTGCTCCTAACCACTGTACTCAACTGTCCCCTCAAATGCACTGGAATGTTCTTCACTTCCATAAAGATACAGGCATTTTCCTTGTTTCCTTCTTTTTTTCCTTCTGAAACACAAAGTTCCCTTAGTCTTTCCCTTGCTTATTCACCTTCCACCTTTGATCAACAAGGGTACTGGGATCTAGTCACCAGCTCAGGACCAGCAACAGAGCGTGTGTGCTGATAAAAAGTGGCTGACCCTTGTGCAAGGGAGGCAGGCAGTCAGGAGCAGTGAGGGTAAGGGCAGCCCACCCTTTCTAAGGGTAGTGGCAGCTCAGCTTGAGTCTACAGAATGTCCAATGCTGAAGCCCAAACTGACCATCCGAACTGGCAAGAGAAGCTGAAGATCCAGGTTTTTATGTGAAATCTCCTGATTGTAAAATGGTAGCAGCCAATTCCACTGTCTGGGCCAGAAAGAATTTACCTGTGGGTTGCCAGTTTATGATTAGCTATGCTTCTGGCTCCTCAGACCCACCATGCCCTTTCCTTGCCTTTGTGCCTGGAGTCCCCTATGACCAGAATGCTCTGCCACCTCCAGCTACCTATCCCTAACAGTGCAGTTCAAATGATAAGTCTTCTGACTTCTGTCTCTATAGTAACACTTGCCCCTTGGTATGGTAGTTCTCACGTTGACCTTTCTACTAGGCCAGGAGCTCCCTTAAGCAGAAACTGTATCTTATTCATAACTATATGCCCAGTGCGTGGTAAGGGATCAAGCAGGTACACCTGCCGGCCCAAGCTGCAGTGTTCCTATAACAGGACTTACTGGGGAGTCCTGCCCAAGGAGCATGCCCTGCACCCAGCCTGAGTCCGTCCCCAGGCCTCCCTCACCTTAAGGATGTCCTTGATGATCTTCTTTTCATCGTGGAATCGTGCCTTCAACTCCTCCACATAGAACTTGAACAAGTCCAGGGGAGTGGAGCCTGCAGGGAGGGAGGGAGGGGGGCCTGGCGGGTGGCAGCTTCCCAAGGCCTGGGGGGGGGGTCGAGGGGGGGGCCAGGGAGGGGGGGGGGA